TCGTGTGGGTTTCCCAGCCGTCCCCCTCCAGCGCCTTCGCCGAAGGCGCCTTTGACTCCTGCAAGAATGTCCGGATCCCCGCCACCGGAGGGTACGCCATTTCCACCATGTGTGGGCGCTACGGCCACAAGCTGTGCACGGCCCAGCGTTGGTACGACTTCCAGGGTGACTCCAGTAACGGCCTGGCCCCGCTCGACATCGACTTCAGCCTGGTGAAGGAGGGCGAGACCGAGGGGATACCCAACGGCGTCGTTCCCTACGACGGGGAATCTCTCAGGTGCAACAAGACCACACCAACCGGAGGTATTGCCTGCTCCTGCCAGGACTGCCAGAGCTCTTGTCCGAGTGTGCCTCCCCCGCCGCCACCCGTTGCTCCCTTCCGCTTGTTGGGGACAGACGGCTTCTTGGTCATCTCCGTTATTTTACTCTGTCTCCTGATACTCACCTTTCTCCTGTACCTCGCCATGTCCTACTGGGTGAGCTCTCGGAGGAAACACGATCAAGAGGGAGGGCAGAGAAAGAAGAAAGGCAAGAACAGCAACGACGTTAGCGAGCTGGTGGTCCATCCGTCGCAGGTGACCTGCGCCGAGAAGAACAGCCTGGCAGCCCAAGCTCTGCTGAGCTCAGGATTCAGGAACTGGGGAACCGCCATGGCCACCTATCCCCTGACAGTGAGTACCTTAGCGGTAAAATACGGATTAAACGTAGGGGTCTCCGACGTGATGAAGAGACGAAGCGGGGAACCCTGAAATATATACAGTGTTCCTTCTTCTGTAACGCGGTTCGCCTTTCGCTCCCTCAGCGCATCGCAAAAGCCGATCACGTGACATTTTTGCTATATCACGGGTAAATGAGATTTGGGTTGGGGAAATCTAAGATACCCGCGTGACATATACGTATTATGGTGAGCATTTAATTAATGTAAGTTTAAGGACCTAAGTTGGACACTGGGGGGCACTGTTGTTGTTCGACAGTTGATAACAGTGTGGGTGAGGTTCGTAAAGGGTAAATATATACGTATATGGTAATAAGTATCTGACTTGTACTTCGCGATTTTTACCATTTCGCGGCAGGGCTTGAAATGCAACTACCGCGATAGTAGAGGGGATCACTGTCTATGGAAACTCGAGGGTTAAAGACTAAAAAAAGCAAAAAAGATATAATAGTCATTGTGGAATTTGTACACTATCACCCCCCCACACTCTCCCTCTCCCACCCCCCATTCAAGGTGCTCCTGTTCTCGGCCATCATTGTGGCCATTTTCTCTGCCGGCCTCAAGTCCATCGAGCTCACCACCGACCCAGTGGAGCTGTGGTCCTCCCCCAACAGCCGCGCCCGTCAGGAGAAGGACTTCCACGACAGGAACTTTGGGCCATTTTTCCGGACCAACCAGCTGATCCTGACGGCCCCCGACAGAACGGGCCACGTTTATGAATCCCTGCTGTTCGGACGACTGAACCTGAGCGAAGTTCTATCCAAGGACCTCATCCTAGAGCTCCTGGCACTCCAGCAACGAATACAGGTAAAAAAAAACAAATTTCAAAAAAATTCGCAAAGGTGTGCCACTGTAACACGATGATTCCCGATCGTTCAGAACATCGAGTTTTGGTCGGAAGACCTGAACCGCACGGCAAGTTTGAAGGACGTCTGCTTCGCTCCGCTGAATCCATCCGAGCCCTCGCTGAGCGACTGTGCCGTCAACAGTTTGCCGCAGTACTTCCAGAACAGCGTGGACAACATCAATAAGAAGGTGAACATGACGGAGCTGGGTGTGACCAAGGAGGTGGACTGGAGGGACCACCTCTTCTACTGCCTCAAGTAAGGTTTACCGAGTGAAGAACCAGTAAGAAACAATGGATTTCCTGGTTCTTCTGTGACTTAATTAGAACTTCCAACCTCCCCCCTGCCCCCCCTCCCCAGCTCCCCCCTCTCCTTCAAGGACATCACCGACTTAGATCTGAGCTGCATGGCGGACTACGGCGCTCCGGTCTTCCCCTTCTTAGCTGTGGGCGGCTACGAGGGTGAGTGACGTTCTTCTTCACTCCGTTCAGAAGGTTCTAGCGTTACTCCAACGTCTTGTTTTTTGTTTTGTTTTTTTTTTCGTTACCAGGTGACGACTATACAAACGCTAAGGCTTTGATCGCGACCTTCTCCCTCAATAACTACGCCCGCAACGACTCCAAATTTAAAGTGGCCATGCAGTGGGAGAAAGAATTTCTCAAAATTGTCCAAGAATACCAGAAGAGCCCGGACAGCAATTTCACCTTTGCGTACATGGCAGAGGTAAGTCAACATTTAACATATCGTAAATATACAATTGGAATAATCCTTAACTAAATAACCCTTGACTTCTCCGCGCTCCGCCCCCACTGCGATGCAGAGATCTTTGGAGGATGAGATTAATCGGACAACCGCCGAGGACATCCCGATCTTCATGATCAGCTACGCTGTCATCTTCGTCTACATTGCTGTGGCCCTGGGGGAGTACTCTTCGTGGAAACGCATACTGGTATGTAACATCTACCTTAATAAGCCGAGAAACGCGACCTCGTCTTTCACAGAAGGTGCGATAAATGCTACTGTTATTTTGTACGCGATTGATTAATTTAAGAACACAGCTAATCTTTATGGAATGGAAAAAAAATAGGATGCACATAAAAACTGTGCGAAAAATAATTGTGTTCAGGAAGGTCAAACCGGTCCTTATCGCATATGCAATAAAATGAAAACTGAAGTTTGCCAGTTAAATTGCGCTTATCTTGGCAGCCGCAGGGATGTTTACGACTGTCTTCTGTTTTCGACAGTAAAACCTGATTAGGCAAATATACTGTATATATATCGGAAGCAGAAGATTAAAGTGAAAAAATCTAGTGAAAATCGGGTATTTGTTTTTCTCCGTTGATCTCCTCAAGGTGGACTCCAAGTTCCTGGTGGGTCTGGGTGGGATTCTGGTGGTGGGCTGTTCCGTACTGGCCTCCATGGGCTTCTACTCCTGGATCGGCATCCCTTCTTCACTGGTCATCCTGCAGGTGGTGCCGTTCCTGGTTCTTGCTGTAGGCGCCGACAACATCTTTATCTTCGTCTTGGAGTATCAGGTGCGTAGCGCACATCGAGAAACGTGCAGAAAACATAACATTTTGAAAAATAATCTTTCAATAATTTTCCTCAAAATTTTTTCAACATCAGACCAAAAATTAGGATTTTTTTTGAAAAATTCCCCAAAAAAACGTTTTCCAAAAAAAATTTCAGAAGTTTATATTTTGATGAGAAACATGTAGAAAACATAAAATAAATAAAAAAATCTTTTAAAAATTTTCATCCAATTTTTTCAACATCAGACCAAAAATTTGGATTTTGCCGAAAAATTCCCCAAAAAATATTTTTCCAAAAAAAATTTCAGAATGTTATATTTTGATGAGAAACGTGCAGAAAACATACAATTTTGAAAAAAAATCTTTTAAAAATTTTCATCCAATTTTTTCAACATCAGACCAAAAATTTGGATTTTGCCAAAAAATTCCCCAAAAATGTTTTTCCCCAAAAAATATCAAACATGTAGAAAAAATAAAATTTTGAAAAACGAAATTTCAAAATTTTGATCAAAAACAGACAAAAAATTTGGATTTTGCCGAAAAAAAATAAACGACAACTTTGAACCTGTTGACCGTCGTATCTCCACTCCTGCAGAGGGACGTGAGGAGGCACGGAGAAAAACGGGAGGAGCAGATTGGCCGCGTCCTTGGAAACGTCGCTCCCAGCATGCTGCTGTGCAGTCTGTCGGAGTCCGTCTGCTTCTTCTTAGGTACGACCGTTTTCTGTTTCCGACGGGTTTACGAGGCGAGGTCTTACTCATTTTTATACCATGTGATCGCCCGTGTCGTCCTTTCAGGGGCTCTGTCCACCATGCCGGCCGTCAAGTCTTTCGCCCTGTACGCCGCCCTGGCGGTCCTCATGGACTTCGTCCTCCAGATCACCGCCTTCGTGGCGCTGCTGTCGCTGGATGCGAGGCGGCAGGACAGCAACCGATATGAACTGTTCTGCTGCGTCAAAGTTTCCGCTCCGCATAAGCCGAGCGAGGGTTTTCTGCTGCCGTTCATGAGGAAGTACTACGCCCCCGTCCTACTGCACAGATACACCCGGATCCTAGTGGTAAAAAAAAAAACCCTCGACATCGCATTGACCCGCCGGCTCGCGCCGCGAACCTGTACGTGTTTGTCAATGACGCAACGTGTCGACTTCCTTTCCGCAGATGTTGGCCTTCATCTTCATGTTCTGCGCTTCCATCTTCCTCATTTTCAACGTCAAGGTCGGACTGGATCAGGAGCTAGCCATGCCGCAGGTCAGTAAACCCGGCTGTACGACCGAGTAAAAAAATTTGAAAAAAATCTTGCTTACTCGCAACTTGGAAAATCTACTTTTCAGGTAGCTAGCGTCTTGTATACCGTACCGTGGCATTGAGTCCTTTCTGTTTCTGTGGCAGGATTCGTACATGTTGGACTATTTCAAGTACCTGTACAAGTACTTCGAGGTCGGAGCCCCCGTTTACTTCGTGACGAAGCGGGGCTACGACTTCACCACGGTGGAAGGCATGGACGGCATCTGCTCCAGCGTGGGCTGCGACCAGTTCTCTCTCACCCAGAAGATCCAGTACGCCACCGATTACGCTGACAAGTGAGTTTTTTCCCGTCCCGGGTTTTGTTGCCCCTCTTATCTCCATAAGTGCAGGTTCCTCCACTCGGGGGGGGGGGGGGGTAAAGAGCGTAAATTTTCTTCGCATTCTAATAATCCTCACTGACACATCCTTGAACCTTGGGTCATCCTTGAACCTCGTAACGACCTACGACATACTAGCCAATCAGACGGGTTAATGATAAACTGTATAGCGTGAATGCCACCTAGCAGATAACAGCAGCATCGACATCTGGTTGAAACACCGGACGGAAAACCGCCGCCCGTAAAACGGTCGTCACCGACAGCAGGAGTTTCCTGATCTGAATTTGTGACTTTAGCTGTTAGCATAAAGGAAGTAGCTGAAAATATAAGCCTCTCTTGGTCATCGTGACCTGACGGTATTCCTATCGCTTACGATAACGAGAGGTAATCGGATAGATTATGATTAACAGCACACCTTTGTTTTCTTCTGATAAGATCGATCGCTATCACGTCTTCCTTGCGAACAACAAAACAGTTGTCCGGTTGCGGTGAAAACACATACGTTAAAAAAAAAGTTGAACTTTGGTTTCTGAAATTTATAATTTTTAAATATTTACCTTCTATGAAATAAACATCGTAATTTTTTTTTTTTACTTTTGATATAAAAATATGACTCATATTTTCGTGAAACAAATTTTTTTTCTGAGCCTTAAAATCAAACGCAAATTCGTCCGGTTTGACATTATTAGCATCATTTAAAACGTAAATAAATAAATAAAGCGCATCGTACTCACCTAACCCGCTGATTTATAAGAGTCGACATTTTCCGTTCTCCGTTCGTTCCCGAAAGAGTTCAATTACGATGTTGTATACAGCTAAAGGTAAAAAAAAGCTAGCACTTACTGATAACTTTTTAAAACAACCAAACAACGTAAAAATGCTAACATTGTGCTATGCGATATAGACGACTTGAAACCGGAAATGTAGTTATTGTTGATTTCAAGCTACAGGAGCTAGCACTGTGGATTCTAAAGAATTTTATATTTTATAATTAGACGACGTTTACTATTTTTTTTTTACGATTACGTAAATTTCTATTTGAGGTTTTAATTTTTTTTTGCTAATCTCCCTCCGCCATAACGCGGTAGGATACATCAGATTCAGCCGAGTCGTACTTTCTGCCTCGAGTGCGCGCTCTCGTTAGCTCACGCTACGTCACTTAGCATTATCGCTAACAGGAGACCCTGTTTATTAGTGCGTTTTTGCCCTCAACATTTTTTTTAAGTGTCTCTATACCGATATTTACAGAAATCGATTTAATTCTATGCTAACAATTTCAAAAATATTTCCGAAGTTGAGTGTTTCCTGTTTCCTAACAACGCGACCTCAGGTCCTACCTGGGCATTCCCTCCAACTCCTGGGTGGACGACTTTATTGACTGGTTGAATCCCGGCTCCAAGTGCTGTCGTCTGTACTCCTTCGGACCAAACGCCGGGAAGTTCTGTCCCGCGAGTGAACGTAAGAAGCAGCGCCGCGGAGGTGTTGCGATCAATGACGTTTCTTGGGCCGACTCTGACTCTCTCTCTCTCTCTGTCCTCCCTCAGCCTCCTTCCTGTGTCTTGAGAAATGCGTTCCCCCTCCGCCCGACGGCGTCCTCAGGCCCACCGTTGAGCAGTTCAACCGCTTCCTCCCCGACTTTCTGGGCAATAGGCCGGACCTACAGTGTCCCAAAGGGTGCGTACCGCCGGCTGCTCACAGGCAGCGATGTCTCGGCAGCGGGACGACAGTGAACCTGATTTCATCCTCTCTTTGAACAGGGGTCTCGGAGCCTACGACACCGCCGTGGTCCGAGATGGGAGCGGAGAAATTATAGGTAAAATATTTTTTTTGAATTAATCTCAAATTGTTCGTGGATTTACGCTAGCAACCTCAGTTCACTCCCTCCTTATTCGCTCGAAACCGGGGCGTCCACACTTTTTTGGCACAGCAGCTAAAGACCAAGGCTAGCGTGATCTACCTACATTCAAAACATTAAAATATACTTACTAATATAAGGTCAACATACACATTATATGTAGGGATGTCCAATATTGAATTTTTTACGATATCCGATTTGCTGATATCGCTCAGACACTCCGATATCAATCAATACCGATATATGCAGACGTGTTTCCCCCAAAAACTGCGGTAAACATCTCAGGACCCCACAAGCGATTCAAGCATGTTTTGCGAAAACCGAGGGATTGGGTTATTGGGTTTCATTATCGGAGGAAAAACAGATAACGATTCTTACAGAAATTATGCTAACGTCTGGCCGACGAGACATCTCTAATTATATTTGTGTACTGATTACAGTAATTGCGTGTAGTTGTCTTCTTACAGTATATGGTTAGTACTACACAGTATAGAATTATATTTTTGCGATGTAATTGTGATCTACTGGTAGATGAAGTAAAGAACTGTAGCACATTGTGAAAGAGTTGCGGATAAAGGATTAGATGAAGAGAATTGTAGTTCCATCCGTCCGTCCGTCCGTCAACCTTTGATCTCCCGTCTTCGCAGCCTCCCGCTTCATGGCGTACCACACTCCTCTGACCAATTCCCAGGAGTTCACGGCTGCACTGATCAAGTCCAGAGAACTGGCCCTCAACATCACCCGGGGCATGAGGCAAATACCGGGCACCTCCCCCGACTTCGAGGTCTTCCCGTACACGTACGTAGCTCGCGCCCGCAAGATCCGTGGACTCGCGAGGATGAAGTTGTTCTTCTGACTGCCTCGTCTCCTCTCGCTCCCTCGCAGGCTAACCAACGTGTTCTATGAGCAGTACCTAACCATCGTACCCGAGGGCCTCTTCAACATCTCCCTGTGTCTGCTGCCCACGTTCGTGGTGTGCTGTCTCCTGCTGGGCATGGACATCCGCTCCGGGCTGCTCAACCTGCTGACCATCGTCATGATCGTGGTGGACACCGTGGGGGTCATGACCCTGTGGAGCATCGACTACAACGCCGTGGCGCTCATCAACTTGGTCACGGTGGGGCGATCATCTCGATTGCAGTACTGCATTCCAAATATAAAAGGTACACAAAACTGTATGTCACATACTGCGTGTACTGCGTGTACTGTGTGCAGGCGGTGGGAATCTCCGTGGAGTTCGTGTCGCACATGACGAGATCGTTCGCCCTCAGCACCAGGAGGACCCGCGTGGAGCGGGCTATGGAGGCCACGGCCAACATGGGCAGTGCCGTAAGTACTTGAAGTACTGCGCTCGTTGAGTACAATGTCCATCCATCCATCCATCTTCAACCGCTTATCCGGGGCCGGGTCGCGGGGGCAACAGTCTGAGCAGGGACACCCAGACTTCCCTCTCCCTCGACACTTCCTCCAGCTCTTCTGGGGGGACCCCAAGGCGTTCCCAGGCC